CGGATTTCTCGGATCGTCGCTGGGGCCCCCCGGCGGCGCCTCCGGCGCCGCTGACGGAACAAGTGTTCGAGGCACACGGCCCTTTCTAGGCGCACCGAAGCGCCATGGGTTGCGGAGCTTGGAGGTGCGGGGGATGTGACCATCATGCGTCCGATTCCCAATGACGGTCGTGCGCCAAACGCGGCAGCATGTGGCAGCCTCGCGCCGACCCCAGCAGGCGAAGTGCGAACAGGATTCGCGACCAGAGTAAGTCGGCCGAGGTGATGAAGTTGATCTACGAGATCCCTGTCGCCATTCCCGACGAGGCAGTGGGCAACACCTCGGTCTTGGAGCCCCTCCCAGCAGGCGCAGAGGAGCTGAAACTCCTACTAGGCGCGCGCCCGGACCGAGCATCTCAGGTTCGCCAGCCTCCTTGACGGTGCCCGCGGTGCAAGCAGGGGGTGGCCCGTCTGTCGAGTGCGATACCGGCGTCCTGAAGTACATGATGAGCGCGAGCAAGGGCTCACAGAAGCAGCTGGCCGAGCTCTGAGACCAGCCTACCACCACCAAGGATAGGTCCGCCAAGATGCACACTCCAGTCCAGTAGCAGAAGCCGCCCTGAAGCCGCAGATCAGCGACTGCAGCAGTCCATCAAGCAGCCCGCCACAGCTGAAGGAGCCGCAGCAAAGTCAAGATGCTGAAATCAGGACTGCTTTGGGCTCAGGATGGGCTCAGATTTTCGGGCCGCTCCCTTAGATTTATGCCGTGGAGTTTGTTTGTCGCTTAGGCCCGCCGTGGTCAGAAAAGCCCCTTTCGTTCCTTCTTATCTTAAGGGCTTCGCCCTCTGCCGCCAGCCCCCCTATGTCGTGTGCGGGCGGCTGCGCGGGGGTCTTCTTGGGGCCTCTCGTGAGTCTCCTTGGGACCTCTTGGGGGCCTCTCAGGGGGTCTCCTTGGGGCCTCTTCGGGGTCTTCTCGGGGCCTCTTGAAAACAATATTGCGAAGGCCTTACGGCCGTTGCCGCCGACCCTGAGAGCGACGAAGATGATAACGAGGGGGGGGACAGGGTGGAGGAGGTGGATGAGGGAGAAGGATGTGGAGGAGAAGCAAGAGGAAGAGAAGGAGGCAGAGGAGAGCAGGAGGAGGGGGAGCAGAGGGGGGGGAGGAGGAGGAGGAGGAGGAGGAGGAGGAGGAGGAGGAGGAGGAGGAGGAGGAGGAAGAGGAGGAGGAGGCCAGAGGCTTTCTTGGAACAGCCTGGGGCTCTCTTGAGGCCGTCTTGGGCCGTCCAGGGCTCCTCTTGCGCCGTCTCGAGGCACTCTTGGAGGCCTCCTGGGCAATTTGGGGCTCTCCTGGGCTGTCTTGGGGCAGTTTGGCGGCCCCTTGGGAGCCTCTTGGGGCCTCTTGGGGCTTCTTCGGGGCCTCTTGGGGGCCTCTTGGGGCTGAGAGCTCGAGATGCCTGGTCGGGTCCCCCGTCTGGGCACTCTCCTGGAGCCGTCTTGGGGGCCTCTTGGGCCGTCTTGGAGGCGTCTTGGGCCGTCTTGGAGCCCTCTTCGGCCGTTAGGGGACCCTCTTGGGGGCCTCTTGGGCCGTCCCGGAGCGATCTTGGGGGCCTCTTGGGCCGTCTTGGCGCGTCGGGAAGCGGAAGAGGCAAGAACGCCAAAGTCTTTCAAACACGTATAGGCCTCTTAGGGGCGCTTTGCAGGCTTCTTTGGCCGTCTGGAGGCCGTCAAGGCGTCTTGGACAGATCGTTCGGCGATTCGGGGTTCTCTTGGACTGTCTTTGGGGCCTCTTGGGGCACTCTTGGCCCGTCTTGGGGCTTTTTTGTTGGGCTCCGGGACTCCCAGGGGGGGCGTCGTATCTGACCCCCCCCCTTGGGGCGTCTGACCCCCCCCCCCCCTGGGGGGGAGGGATCGAAGGGAAGGGGCTTCCCTTCGACTCAACGACGTTGCTTCTTTCGCTTTGGCGGCGCGCTGAGGAGGTCCCTTGGAAAGGGGGGAGCTTCGACGAGCCCAGGGAAAGGGGGGAGGCAGGGAAAGGGGACAACAGAGACGACGACCAACGAATGACGGAGATGACGACTTGAACGGACAAGCCCGTCACACACGCCGACAGGGTCGGCGGATTTTGGGTCTCTTGGGGGTCTCCTTGGGGCCTCTTGGTGGCCTCTTGGGGCCTCTGGGGACCTTCTTGGGGCCTCCTGGGGCCCTCTCGGGACGGAAAGGTCGAGTTTTCGGTTCATGGATCTTGGGCCTCTCTTGGGACCGTCTTAGGGCCCTTTTGGGCCGTCTGGGGCGCCTCTTGGACCGTCTTGAGGCCCTCTTCGGCCGTCTTGGAGCCGTCTTTGGGGCCTCTTGGGCCGTCATGGAGGCTTCTAGGGCCGTCGTGGAGCGCCTCTTGGACCCTCTTGGTCCGTCTCAGACCGTCGGAAAGCCGAAAAGGCGAGAAGGCCAACATCTTTTTCTTTGTTTAATTATAAAAACAAAGAAAACGTAGACCAATCGTTGGTTTTTGTTTCGTGGGGCCCTCTCGGGAGGCCTCTTGGAGGCCTCTTGGGTTGTCTTTGGAGCATCTTGGGCCGTCTTGGGGCCATCGTGGGACATCTTGGGGCCATCTTGGGCCGTCTTGGCCTTCTGAGGCTCTTTTCGGAGCCTCGTCGGGCAATTTGGAGGCCTCTCGGACCGTTCTGGCCGCGTGGTGGCGCCACCACTAGAATCCTGGGGTGGCCCGGAGCAGCCTGGATTTGAGGTTCCCCCCCCTCCGTTGGTTGTTTGGCGACGCGGTTGAGCCCCTTAGCAGACAATAAACAGGAGGCAGGAAACAGGATTGGAGAGACAACAGGCCCAACAACAAATGACAACACATAACACGTGACAGCAGTTCGCACACACCTTTGCAGCCTTGCGCCCCCGGAGGGGGCCGGCGGATTATAGGCCTCCTGAATAGGTTGGAGTAGATGGGGTCGGGAGATCGCACCGCATCGCCGACGCATTGCCGATGCGGCTCGATGTGTAGGCCGAGTTGCTCAACGCCGACGTCGCCGATGCATCGCCGATGCGGCGCGATCCTCCGAACTCCGTCTACAGTGGAGGCCCATGCCAAGAAACGTCCTGCTTGCCTCCAGGGTGTCCTGGGTTTCTTGGGTTTGGATGGTTTTGCTGTGGAAGGCGTGACGTTCCCACACTCAGAAGCGATGGACGTCCTGGGGTCTCAGGGCTGCGTTTCTTGTGGAAGGTTTCTCGTGCACGGGCCTCCACCTGCACTCGGACCCCACCCGGGTAGCACGACGACTGCAGACGACGACCTGGCTCCGGGCGGGAGGGCCCGCAGCTGGGCCGACCACCGAGCTGCCCCCCGCCGCGGACGGCCTCGCCCCGTGGGCGGCCGGGACGCCCGTCCAGCAGCCACCACCCGAGACAGGAGCACCGCTGCCTCCAGCCAGCTGTGGGGGGGGGGCCGCTCCCACCCTCTCGGCATCGCTCGGACGCGTGTATTTGTTTCTCGGCGAGGACCCTTGAGGAAACATCCTTGATCATTTGGCGAAAAAGCCACGCACGAAACCGAAAAAAGCACAGGGAATGGACGTCCGAGCGATGCCAGGCCCTCTCGAGCGGGCGGCACCTCGTTCCGGGAGCTCTCTGGCGGCGTGCCCGGAAGGAGGCGCCACCGGCTCGAGAGGGAGGGAGCGGCCACCCCCACAGCTGGTGGTAGTGGTGCTCCTGTCTCTCCCGAAGCCAAGGCGCTCGCGGAGAAGCCTACCCTCGAGCAGTGGCGAAGCGTCCTGGCCTGCCTATCGTCGGCGGCGAGCGAGGGGGGGAATCGAGAAGGAGAAGGCCTTCTCGGAAGGCGGCGGGACTTCTGGGAAGCCCTCGCGCCTTCTGAGAAGTGTTTCGTTCTGTCTTCGGGGGAGGCTTAGAAGACTTCTGAGAAGGCCGGGGGACTTCCGAACATGCTGACAAGGCCTTCTCCTTCTCAATCCCCCCCTCGCTCGCCGCCGATGTAGGCCCACCAAAGCATGTTCTAAGAACCTTCCTAGTGGTCTGCAGGACATGTTCTTTGAATATCCCTGACCAAGACCGTCGTGGTTTAACACACATCGGGCTGATGTTTCGAACACTTTTTTATAAGAAAATTCAATGTTCCCATGTCGTGTAGGCCTATAGGAATGGCCCCCAAAACTGGGGGGTCAAAACACATGTCGTGGTAGGCGTATAGGAGTGCCGGGACGGTCGGTCCCTGCTGAACGACAGCCCCCACCCTGCCGCCGCCGGCGCAGCACAGCGCTGCCGCCGCTGCGGGCGCCACGCGTGGAGCAGTCTCCCCGGCGTCTGGAAGCCCGTCGCGGGCTCACGCTGGGAGTGCTGGCCGCCAGGAGTGCCCCACCCCAGGCTTTGAGCAGCTCGCGCCTTTCTCGCCGCAGCCACGGTGAGGGCTGTACCGATGATGGGTTGGACGTTTGAACATATGCGAGGGATGTGTGGCGCCAAGGCACAGTTGAACAAGAACCTCAACAAGTTGTCCGTGGGGCAGATTTTCCACGCGTTCGCCCTTGCACACGTATTCCAGACCACGGAGCTCGTTTGCAACTAACGAGGCGTCCATTGTCGAGGCAGCGCACGCCTTTCTCGCATCAGCCCACCGTGAAAAAGGCGCAGATGATGGGCGAGATGCTCGAAACACGCAGGGCACGTATGACGCCCAGGTGCGGCTCAACGAGAACCTCAGTAAACTGACCGCGGGCCAGAACTTCCATGCGTTCACCCTGGCACGTGTCCTTCAAGCCACATGGCTCGGTTTCAGCAGCAAGAGCGAGGCGGGCCTTGCCGAGAATGAGGACGAAAACCACGATCACGACGACACGACGACCACGATCGCGGCCACGACCGCGACGGCGACCTTTGCCACGACCGCGACGGCGACCATGGCAACGCCGCGATGGTGACGACCACGACGGCGACGGCGACGGCGACGGCGACGGCGACGACAGCGACTCCCTCCTCGTTCTGGTCCGCTCGCGTGGCCGCGAGGCTCCTGCGCATCGCCGCCGCACAAGGCCCGCGCCGCGCCCAAGTCGTCCTCGTCCTCCTCGCCCTCGTCCTCCTCGCCCTCGTCGCGCAGGGTGGAGGAGCCATGTGTCGATGGACTTTTGAGGTCTGCGGCCGCCTGAGGCGCTTCCGCGGCGACCCGCGGCACGAGAGCAGATGCAGCGGGAGGCGGAGGCCGCGCGGGGGGTGAGGAGATTACGCTCAGAACATGCAGCTTTCGGGGTGCTCGGGGCAGAAGGGGGACAACGGAGGAAGTTTGCTGCAGGTCCCTGGCAAGCCCCTCGTGGTGGGCCGACTTCTTTCCACTACCACTACCACAGGTAGGAAAGGGAGGAGGAGGAGGAGGAGGAGGAGGAGGAGGAGGAGGAGGAGGCGGAGGCGGAGGCGGAGGCGGAGGCGGAGGCGGCGTGGAAAAGAGGAGGAGGAGGAGGAGGAGGAGGGAGGAGGAGGAGGGAGGCAGGAGGAGGGGAGGAGGAGGAGGAGGAGGAGGAGGAGGAGGAGGGAGGACGAGGAGGAGGAGGAGGAGGAGAAGGAGGAGGAGGAGGAGGAGGGGGAAGAGGACCTCCCCCTCCTCCCTCCTCCACCCTCCTACACATGGTAGCGGTTTGCGAAAATTGGCCCATTACCTCGCCACGAGCGAGCCCGCCGTCCTGGCCGGCAGATGTGAGCCCGCGGCTGGCGACCCGCAGCAGCTGCCCGGGCTGCTGGGCAGGCCGCGGCGGAGCTCCGCACTGGGCAGGGGGCCCGCAGCAGATTTCCGTGCAGATTTCTGCGGCGGGAGGCAGGCCGGAGCCCCTGCAGGCCGGAGGCCGAGCGAGACACGGCAAGCTCGCGCCATTCGGGCATTGGCCAGGACCCCAGGTAAGGGGACCTGGTTAGTGGTAGGGCCCCCGAGCCCCTCAATTGGCCAGAACCTCTCGACCAGGTCTGCCGCAGTTGGCGCTTGCTCGGGTGACGGCAGTTCCGGTTAGTGGAACGGGGCGGGGCGGGGGCGTCCCCCAGTACACATCACTGAACCAGGTCCCACCAAACCCAGTTCTGCCAACGCCCGAACCATTTCTCGGGAGGTCCGCGCGGGTTTTTTGGATCGGCGCTGGGCCTGGCGCGCGCTCTGCGTGCCGGCGCCGAACCGAGAAATCCGCGCGGACATCCAGGGCTCGTGGGGGCCTCCAGAGCGGGGGCGGAAGGAGGGCGGGGCGAGGGCGGGGGAGCGAGGGGAAGGCAGGAGAGAGCTGGGAGGAGGCTGGAGGAAGGAGACCGACGACGGCGACGACGACGACGACGGCGACGTCGTCATCGTCATCGTCATCGTCATCGTCATCGTCGTCGTCGTCGGTGAAGGCCAGGAGGAATGATGTGGGAGGTACCCGTCGGTCGTTGAAAGTAGGTGCTTTTGGATTCTCAGGTTACTCTAAGCGCCTTCCCGCTTCAACGATCGAGTGGCTCCACCTTTTCTGCCCCCCTTCGGGGGCGCACGGACCCCAATCTACTCTCAACGCCTTCCTACGTCATGTTTCTACCTACTTCTTCTGACTGATGGGTCATGGCAACGGCCATGGTCCCGGGAGCCCGAGGGTCCCCGCAGACAGGTGCGTCTCAGCCGCAGCCCTCCCGGGAGGGGGCGGGCTGTGGCCACGGCCCCAGCACTCCCGCGGGCACGGAGGCCAACGGACAGCCGGACGCAGCCACCGAGGCCGCTCCCGGGAGCCCCGCGGGCCCGAACTCGGCGGCGAGCGAGGGGGGCGAGTGAGGGAGAGGCTTTCTCAGAAGGATCTGCATGTCCCCCAGCCTCCTGAGAAGTTCTCTAAGTCTTCCCCGAAGACGCCGAAAACCTTTTAAATCAGAGCGTGAATTACCTACCCCGCTTTCGCTTCCCGGAAAAAACCAAGTCATACCACGCGCCTCCTCGTCAAGCGACCTGACCAGTACAGGCCGTAGTTTGGCATCGCTTGGTATCTCTTGGAAGCGAGGGTGGTCGAAAGCGAGGTAGGTTTGTTTTCCCCCTTCTGAGAAGGCCCGCCGCCTTCTGAGCAGGCCTCCTCCTGCCCACCTCTGCCCCATCTCTCGCCGCCGACGAGCGGAGCAGCCCCCATGGAGGGGGGTCTAGCGCCGATCCGAGAAATCCGCGCGGACCTTTGAGTTTTTCCCAACCCTCCTTGGTTGGGCATTCGTTTTGAATAGAGCACTGTGGTCGCGTCCCTCCTCCTCCCGCGTCCCGCCTCCTCCTGCCATCTCTTCGCCGACGATGGGGGCTGCGATCTGCGAAACTGTCGCCACTTTCGAGGGCTGCTGGAGGGTCCAGCGGAGTGAGGCACCGCGCAGATCTGAGCAAGACCTCGCCGTGCCTGGGGGGCTGCGATCTGCGAAACTGTCGCCACTTTCGAGGGCTGCTGGTGGGTCCAGCGGAGTGAGGCACCGCGCAGATCTGTTACTCCCCCTTTTTTTGTTTTCCCTCCCTCCCCCCCTCCCTCCCTTTCCCTCT